CCCTCACTTGTCTCCACGCCTGCAGGAGCAGCAGCAGGGTCAGTCACTGACAGGGCCGGCAGCAGAGACACAGTAGGTGGCAGACGTGATGCCACTGCCATCCACAGGCGTGGGACGGACAGGCTTTCAGCCTTGGCCGCTTGCTTCGGCATCTGCATGGAGGCTGTGCCTGGACAGAGCAGATTGGTTACTGAGCCGGGGGTGGTTACTGAGAAGTCTCAGAGACTTCTTTTCATGCAGCTGGACAAGGGGCAACGCGAGAGATCTGGAAGCTAAAGTCAACAGCCAGGTGTGGCAGTGTGCACCTCTGCAACTCTAGTATTTGACAGGCTGAGACAGGAGGCTTGTGAATTTGAAGCCAGCCTGGGCTACTTAGCAAGACCCTGTCTCAACAACAACAAAAAATCTAAAATCAATAAAAATTACAGGTTGACTGAATGTGGCCGATGACTGGGAGTACTGGGAGCTGAGAGCCAATTGTTGAGTCTCCTGTCCTAGACCCACTATCCAAGGTGGCCCATCAGTGCCATCTTCTTAGCCCTGAATAACTGGATTTAGGAGTGGAAAGAGTGGACTGATATGGATAGCTGAAAATCACGGATTTGAAAGGAGTCTCCCGAGCAAGCTAGCATTGTCCAGCACGCTGGGAGGCTGAGGCGGGCATCAAGGGTGAGCCCAGCCTGGCAACTTGGTGACACCCCCTCTCTCAAAGTGAAGATAAAAACTGGAGTCGGGGTATAGCTCAGTGCCCAGGCCTACATCCAGTCCTTAGTACCTTAGTACAAACACCCCAAAACATCAAAGCAGAAAAGTAAACATTGAAGTGAAAAGCAGAAGAGCTTACAAAGGAGGCAACAGAAGGAAAAGGCATAGGCTGAGAAGAATCGGAGTGGTTAAGGGAAGGCCAGGCCGTTCACAGGAAGTGACTGGCAGTCACAGAGAGGTGGGTGCTGAGGCTGGAAGAGGCAAAGTGAGTTTCCCACGCTAAGTGCCAGGACCAGGATTTGAATCCAGGTTCTGATGCAAAGCTTCTGCTCTTCTGTCATCTAGCAGTGTCACACCTTTGCTGAGGCTTGGAGACTGAATTGGATGCTCAGTTCAGAAAGCTTTGAAGTAGAAGAGAGGCAGAACTGAATTTATTCCTGCAAGCTAAGAGCACTGAGGACAGAAGAGGGCAGAGGTCTCCCTTTTTCCCTAAGTGAAGTATGTGAGAGGCAAAGAATGCAGGGTCAGGGCTGTTCGCTGTCCCTGGCCACCTTACAGGGGCAAGATGGCACCTGGCACCCATGGGCAGCAGGAAGCAGAGTGCCTTCCACACCCACCTGGACTTAGTCCTAAGAATGGTCAGAAGCAGGCTGCACACGTCCTGTCTTGTGGGTGTGTGGGACTCCTCTAACTTCTAAGGGTTTGGTTTGGTACAGGAGAATCGAACTCACAACCTTGCACTTGCCAGGCAGGTGCTTGTGCCACTGAGCTATACCGCTGGCCCTGATGAGACTTCTGAGAGTTGCTTGTATCACAGTTTTTCAAAGTAAGGATAATCCCAGCACTTGGGAGGGTGAGGCAGGAGGAATGCTGTGAGTTTGTGGCTATAAGCTGGGCATAATGAGTTCAAAGCTACCAAGAACTACATAGTGAGACCCTGTCTCATAAAAATAAAGTGAGGGCCAGTGATTTAGCTTACCAGCACAGCAAATGCAAGGTTCTGAGTTTGATTTCTGATACAAAGTTGGGGCCAAGTACATAATCACATGAACAGATGTGGTTTCCAATGGCTTTATTTAGAGACAGGAAAGCAGAAGTATGAATTAGGATTATAGGCTTATGCCACCATACCCAGCTATATGCTGTATTCTAGAGAAGACTTTAAATACTGCCAAGGTAAATTTTCCCAAGTGGACCTACAGAGTCCTGTCACATTTCCAGCAGTTTCTGGGTAGCAATGCACAAGCTGATTGGAAAGTTCTGTGGAAAGGCAAAGACCTGGCACAGCTAAGGTGATCTGGAACAACATTGGGAGACAAGCCCTTCTTCACTTCAAGGCATAACATAAAGTCAACATGTGGCACTGGCATAAGAGAAAATATACATATAATGTAATAAAACATACACATAGATTTCACAAGAGTCATTTTACTTTTTGATAAAAGCACCATAGTAGTGTGATATAAAATGTCTCCAACAAATGGTGCTGGTGCTGGGACGACTGGACAGCTGTATGAAAGAAGATACGGCCTCCAGCTACGTGGAGTGAGGTGGGGATAATGACAGTGATGATAGTTAACAGCAGTGTGTTCTTGGAAATTACTAAAATTAGATTTTGTGTTGTCATCACATACCACAAAAGAGGCCAGCAAATGCCTATGTCAATGGGCTTGACCGGACTACTACACAGTGTACTCAAAGCAACACATATACAGTGTAGAATTCTCAGGTAAAACGTAAAATAAACCTGACTTCAGCATAACCCTAAATGCAGAGAGTAACAAGCTGGGGAAGGTGATGCATGCCTGCAATCCCAGCATGGGTGAGGCTAAGGCAGGAGGATCACTGAGTTTGGGGTCAGCTTGGGTTGCATAGTGAGACCCTGTCTCACAACAAAAACCCCAAAGGCAAAGTAACCCAAAATGAATTACAGCCCTACATATAAAATCTGAAGTTCCTAGAAGAAAATATGGAACTATGTTCATGACAGGTCACACAGAAGACATTAAGAGTGGGGGGATTGAGCCACAGACTTGGAGAAAAAAAACATATCCCAAAAAAGACCTGTATTCAGAATATAAAAAGAATTACTATAGCTTAGTAAGCCAAGCAACTAAAAGAGTGGGCGAAGATTTGGGTACTTCACAAAGACATGCGTGGGCAGTCTGCACAAAAGCATTCATCTGTCACATGGGAAATAAAACCATGAAATCCAAAATGGCCTCAATTAAACCATGACAGCACCAAACTCTGGCAAGAATGACATAACCATAACTATCATATACCATTTGACAGCAGTGTCAGGTGGCCCAACAGTTCTGGGAAAAGGGCCAAATTTTTATCTAGATTCTCTAGATTTTTATGCAGAAAACTCTATACACTTATTGATAACAGCTTTATCCCTAAAAGCATTCAAGTAGAAATTTCTATAGAGCAGAATACTATTTATCCATAGGAAACAGTGAACTACATGTAATGTGGGTTAACCTCTAAAACACAGAATGAAAGAACCACATGCTGAAAGATACTATTCTCAGAACTGACACTGCTTACTTATGATGAGAAAAATGGCAGTTGGGATGACTTGGAAGAGCAGAGAAGTTTGTGGCGTGTAAGAGTCTGCCTTGAGTTGGAGAAAAACACGTGTCAGAGCTTACCAAGTGTGCTGTTTCACTGTATAAAAATTTTATCTAGAAAAGACCAGAAATGTTAAATTACTACAATAGAAATTACAGTAGCTTTCAGATGATTGAAGGCAGCACCTAAAGAGGACCTAGGCACCCTCTGCACAGCTCAGCAATAACTATATGGCACATTCCTGCTGTTCTGAACACTTTGTGCATCTGTTTCCCATAGCTAGCAGCCTGGGGGCTGGGCACCACAGGAGCCCACTTACAGAGACAGGAAGACTGATCAAGGGCCACTTGTCCAGAACTGGACAGTGCTTGCCATCTCAAAACCTTATATGGACCTCTGTGTGTCCTACTGGAGTTCCCCCACCCTGCTCAAATGGGACAAAACGAGAGAAAACCTGGGCACTGAACCCGCCCGTTCTGGGTCGTGGTATGATGTAGAAGATCAGCTTCTCACCAGGTCTCAGCCAGGGGTATTCCAACTTCTCAGCTTTACATAAAATCACAGGTGGCAAGCTTTCTGGAACGGCAGCTTAAAGTGCAGGATGGAGGCTCAAAAGTGCCCTGTTCAACTTGCCATGCCTTCCACGGCTTCTGCCAACTCTGGCCTCAGGAACAGCTCCAGCCATGCTTAGCTCACCTGGTGAGAAGGCGGGACACTCCGCAAAGTGAGGTTTGCATGCTCAGTCCTCACACGTCCAGATGTACATTTAACATCTGACCAACGATCCTCTGTGCTGCTTACAGCATACAATGCATTCAGGTATTTTGGCGACAACCATCAAATTGGATTAGAAACTGCTACTACTATTAACTGCTCAAAGCTCATCTGAGAAAGACCACTCCGGGGTTAGAGGTGGAGTTCAGTGGCAGGGAGCTGGTGTGGTATGTCTCGAGGCCCGTGGGTTCAATCCCACATACTACAAAAGCCACACCAAACCAAAAACCTAACACTGCAGGGCTACATACTGACTCTAAAGCTCATTTTCTTAGCTGGTCTTTACTGACATTACAGAAACTAGAGTACTAATTTAGAACGATTAACAGTTACAGGTTTAGAAGATTTAGAAATGATGAACTCCAGTTCTTAGGAAAACAGTAATCTCTTAATCCTTTTTAATACAACTAGGCTAGAAAGTTGGTGCTTAGTTTTTTTTTTTTTGTTTGTTTGTTTTTTAAATTTGGAGGCAGAGAAGGGAGAGCTGATAACCAGGGTTTTCCTCATTGAGTTACTTACTTTTAAAGGCAAGGTGTGCTATTCTCTAGGTTTAATTTTCTCTGGAAAAAGAGAAATCAAATTTTTTCATCCTGTGCAGAACGAAAGTCATAAATAAAAAGCCTGAGGTAGCTGTCACATTCCAGGAGCTGCTGTGTGGCCCTCCACAAGCCTGGCCTGCCACCAAACCATTACTAACTGCCACGGCCATGTTGCCCTCTGAACAAACCACAGCTCAGTGTGCTTTGAACCTGCTGGGTTCCTGCCCAGCTTCAATTCAGCTACTGCATCCTGGTGGCCTCAATCACCCTTACCCTCAGGGGACTGGCCTGCTCAGCAGGCTCAGTATGAGGGACAGCCTGACCCAGTGACAAAGAAGATCAGTGACACAGCAGTCACAAGAGCAGAGTGAGGTGCAAAAAAATAATTACAGGCAGACTTAGGAGTTGTGAAATGTACATTGTTTTTAATATTTTTAAAAGCACACAGAAGTCTTGACTTTTAAAAAAATAAATATATACCATGACAGTTATTCATGATCCCAGAGCTCTTTTGAGGTCAAACTTTAATGGGTGCATCAATGACAAGCTGAAACAGTGAAACATACATGGTCTGTTACACACAGATGTACGTTCCAGTTGTAAAAGCAAACTCCTTCGAGGCTCAGAAAGATGTGGTATCAGGCTTCTGTTGCAGAAAGCACAGCCAAGCTGGGTGGGGAGACTCAGCAGCCTCTGATCCAGGGAGCCGAAGCAGGAAAGTCCCATCCCTCAGCTCGAAGTGGCACTCAGACTTATAGACACCTGCAAGGTGACCAGCTCGGAGGCTCCACAGAGGTCCTGTTTCTTCTGCATCAAAGCATGGGAGGGAGGGACTGTCCTCTCTGTACTTATGGCCATGACCTAGGTCTGAGAGCAAAAGACCACAGAGGTGTGCTCACTAAATATTGTCGCTATCCTGTTCAGTGGAAGCCTTGTGCACTGGGGAGGTACCGAGTGCTTCCCAGTGTGCAGGGTACTTTCTCTGCCTGACAGCTCTCCCAGGAGAAGAAGTTTGGCTTAAAATACTGGGTGACACTGCAAAGGTGGAGATTTGGGAATTGAAGCTTTCACTCCTACAACATACAACATAAACGAAATCCCAGTCTTAGTAAGAAAGAGCTAAATCTTGGTTCAAACCCGACATGCTCCGACGGGCCTGCCTGCAGGCTGGAATGTATCTGCACAGCGGAAGCTGCGGCTGTTTCTTTGGCTGTCTTCCAGTTAGGTCTGGACTTGACCCTGGATCCTGTTTTCCAAGCTGCCTGCCTCCTGCAGTCCCTTGGTTGGCCAGTGCTCAGCCTGACAGGATTCCCCACTGCCCTCCTAGGCCAGAGAGGGGACCTCTGAGTAGAAGAGGCCTTCAGCTGAGATGGCATCCCCAAGGCCCACGGTTCGAACTGGGTCCTTGCACACTAGCACCGGTGTGAAGTAGAAGGACACACCCCCACGGTGCCACTCAGCCACAGGCTTGTTTGGGTTTAGCACAACCCTAGAGCCCCCCTCCGAATGGGAAGTTGTGAACTCTCGGGGTGCCCTCAGAGACACGCGGCTGGCATCAATGGTTTCGGTAGCACAGGCCTGGGTCCCGGCCACACGCGCTCCAGCCGCCACGGCTGCCAGCTGGTTGGCCCAGTGCCCGTCCACTGTGGCCAGAATGTGGTAGACTAGAGTGTGAAAATGGATTCTGGTGAGGTCCGAGGCTCGGCCTTTGCTCCTCCCGTGTTCCTGCAGGATCCAGAAGAGGATGTCACTGACCATGCCCACATCGGGAACACCATTCCAAGAACGCAGCGAGGCGTGAGGTCCCGACGCTGCCTGGCTGAGGAACAGCAGCTCCTGTTCGTTCAGCCCTAGGGAAGTCACTGCAGGAAAGACCTGCTAACAGAAACAAGGACAGGTCTCTCACTGGTGGTCACCCCCATCTGAGAGCTCAGGACACAGCCGCTGACCACTGGACAGGGACAGCGGGCATCGTTCCTCAATCTGCCTCTCACCACAGCCACCTCTGGGCTCACTGCAAGGCTGTGGCAATACTGTTTCACACCTAGGGCTTGGTAAGAAAGGGCAGAGGGTTCTGCGTGTCCTCCATGACAGCCAGGTTCAGCCCCTGCCCATGGTGGACTCTCAGAAAGGGTAGGGAGAGTTCCAAAGACAACGAAATAACCATGGCTCATTTGTAAAAAGTGAAGATGCTTAGCCTCAAAAAAGAAATATGAACTACACTGAGAAACACTGAAAATGAACCCAAGGGTCAGTTGGGGACACCGAGTGATAAGGACAGGCCAGGGTGGGGCTGCTGGTGATAAGGTGCCCTCCCCAGTGATGGTGACAGGTGTTGACAGCAGGCAGAGGCCGCTCTGCAGTCTCAACCCTCAACCCTGTGGGGAAAAACTGTCCCCCAAAATAAAATCGGTTTCAAATAAGGTGTGTGGGGGGGTGAACTAGGCATACAGCTCAGTGGTAGAGCGCTTGCTTTAGCATGTCCAAGGCCCTGAGTTCAACTCCCAGTACCCCAGCACTGCAAAAAAGAGACAAAGCAAAAACCAGCCACATGTGTAAATATCACATTGTTTCTCTGGTGTGAGAAACCTTGAGTGTACCACACCCAAGGACCAAAACGTGTAATAGGCATTGGGAAACAGGAAGAAATGGCACAAAAGAAAGGGAAACTAGCCAGGGGGAAAGCGGAAAAGAAAAAAACAATAAAAAAGAGGATAAATGGAAACAAAGCTTTGCAAATGAGGGGGGAGGGGTAGAGGGGAGGGGATGGGGGAAAAAAGAGGAATCAAGATGCATCCTGCCCCAGTGTCCCTGCACTGAGAGTGATCAGTAGCAGGCCTGAGCTGCACCAGTAAACTTAACAAAACCAAAACTGCCATTTTTCACCTGCCAATGAACACAAATACATTCTGTGTTCTGCCCCCATACAAATGTTGGGCCCATTCCAGGGCAGGGCTATGAGGACACCAGTGCCAGGCAGTTTTGCCAGTGGGACGGGAACTGCTGAGCTCCCTAGAGAGTGTAATCCCCAACGCTTAGGCTTCCACTCAGTGCTTCGGCTTCTGAGACCAGGCCCTACGTCTGTGCTCACCTACAGGTGAACCAGAACAATGTCAAAAGTATTCCCTGCAGCACCCTGTGGAAGGCAAAGGAAGTGACATCCAAAATACTCCCCCGGGAGGCCCAGGGCAAACAGTACGGGCAACATCCACACCTGCTCGCCATGGGGGAAGCCCTCTGCGGCTCTGCTGGTGAGGGTGGTGAGCATGCTCTCCAGGTACAGAGGCACATGTGGAAAGGACACGTTCCTACAGTTTCTTATCCACATCAAGATTAACTGGAGAGAGCCAGATGCAGCTGGTAAGGAGGCCATGGGTGGGTACCGGAGGGAGAAGGGCAGATGAGGGGGAGGAGGGAGACTCCAGTGGGCATCTTTTCTGTTTTTTTAACCTTTGTTTTTTGAGCCATACGTTGCCAGTGAATAGGTTAAATAACAGTGAAAGGAGAGGTAAACTGAGTCATAACGTGGGTGAGCAGAGCTGGTGTGCTAGCACTGGTATCCTGTGCTCCACTCAGATTCGTCCCAAACATGCTGCTGTGCAGAGGCAGGGTACCCACTTGTGAGCCACACACGGTTACCCGAAGTTTCCTGACTCTCTGCTCCCTAAGATTTAAGTGAAGGCAACTCAGCTGGGCTTTTGATTTCCTGTTTGAGTTCTGCCATTCACCTCAACCTCCCCATTCCAGAAGAAGGAATGTGACCCACAGCCCCACACTCAGCTGCACTTCCATGCTCGGGACAGGTGTAGGGCCTTGTCTGGCTCCCTTGGGCCCTCAGTCTGGAGGCACAATACCCACACCTCAGGGAGCCATTCAGGCCTTGCCAGCCGGCCAGAGCCGGGCCAGTGGGGTTACCTGCTGCATGATGCTGCTCATGAGCTCCCTGTTTGTCATGCTGGCCAGCTCTAGGTGAACTGGAACCCCCGTGGGGATGTCAGCAATGGAAGTGACAACCTACAAAGGGAAGAGGACAGGACTGCCATCAGGATAGGAGAAAGCTAGACAGGAAGGAAGAAAAGGGGAGGTCCTGAACGGTCTGGGGCCCCTCATGACTGCCTTCTCGGCATCCTCATTGAGTTGCAAGAACTGCAGGTGCTCTACCTGCAGGTCCTCTACCTGCAGGCCACAGACACTTTCCCAGCAGGGAAGCACACTCTGCAGAGAACCATCGGGTCACAGGGTCAGAGGCTGAACAAACGGCTGTAACTGTATGAGCTGCTGGCCCATCCTGTGGTCTACTGAGCAGCTGCTCCAACTGCTGGACAGATGTGCAGGCCCCACAGTGCAGCTCGATGGGACAGGTAACATAGAAGACACACACCACAGTGCCTGCAGCTTGCAGGAGGCAGAGGCATGGCCGAGATGCTGTCCTCCCTCCCCCGAGAAATGGAACCTATGGCAGACCAAGTCATAGAGGATGAGGTAGGAGCCTGAGAGTCCCCGATGGTGTCATTACCTCCAAGAGCCTCTTCCTCTGGATGTCGCTGCTCTGTCCCTCCATCATGTGCAAGCCAGAGAGGACCACCAGGTCAGGCTGGAACTCCTCCAGGCTAGACATGAATACCTCCAGCGCGTTCATGGCCCCATTGGAGATGTCATGGGAGAAGATGAAGCGGTTGGCATGGGGGGCTTTAAACTGGCCCCACTCCTCCCCTTCAAGAGCCCGGTCAACACAATGGGAAGAAAAGGAAGAGGTGTTCAGTATCGCAGCAGAAGGGAGCCATGGTTCTGAGCAGGCAGCCCTGCAGTCTGCCGAGCTCTCAGGCAGAGAACACCATCACACCCCAATCACACCCCCATGGGTGACAATGCCTCTGTGGAAACACAGTCCCCCATGGCACTCCTATTTAGTTGGAATCTGGGCAGGATGCCTTCACATTGTCCCTGGTGATTTCCAGCTGCCAAGCCCAGAGCCAAGGCTGCCTCCTCAAATGCTCAGCCTTTCCCAGACAGCCTGGCTGCTTCCTTCCCAGGCCCCGTGGCACCCGGGAGGCGCTTGGCACACACTGATTCATTCAAGGGCCCCAAGCTGAGGATGCAGCCCATAGCATTTTCTGCTTCCATCCTTCCGAACTCATTGGCATTGGCAACAGCTGCGTGAATGGCCAGCAAAGGCACAAATGGCACAGACTGAGGACCTCAACAACTGTGACAACAATGAACAGAGCTGTGCACTCTGAACCCCACAGCTCTCAATTGGACAGGACAGTGCGATGGGAAAGTGCACACGTGGGTCCCCTCGCCACAGCAAGACATGGAAACGCAGCCCACAAGGCCAGGGGAATGCGCTACACAACCTCCAAGAAGGGCTGACTGCTTCAAGGAGAGACAGGTGGAAATCAACAGGTTTCCACAAGGCAAGTTCAAGAGGGGCCACAGTGAGCTGCTCACTGGATCTACTGGAGGCAGGACTGGAGTCAGGACTGGAGTCGCCCGAGAAACAAGTAGGTTGGAACCTGTCCCAGAACAGTGCCCTCTGCCCACAGGGCTTTGTGAGCACTGCTGCGCAGCCTCTCCTCTCAGTTTAGCATCCTGCCCTTCCCTTGGCTTGGTCAGTGAGACCTGGGTAGCCACTGCCTGCGTCCCCAGCCCCAGCCTGTGAGCAAGCTGCTTCTGGGGTGAGCTGTGGGAGGCACAGAAACAAGTTGACAAAGCCTGTTTGAAAGCACCTCTCCAAGTCAGAGAGGCTGGGGACAGAGTGATGTAAAAGAGCTCACCTAAAGCTGCTGCCACCAGACTATGCGCCCCCATAAAAATGTCACCTTGCCTAAAGCCTAATGAAAGCCTACTGTCTTGTACAAAGAAAGCCAGGACACAGTGAAGAAAATCTGAATGCAAGGTTTATAAATCCAGAAAGGGGCCAGCTTACAAATCCCACAGTGAAAAAGTTGGGTGTAGTGGGCACGCCTGTAATCCCAGCACCTGGAGGGCTGACGCAGGAGGATCCCTGTGAAGTTGAGGCCAGCCTAACCTACATAGTGAGTTCTTGGCCAGCCTGGAATAGAGAGACTCTGTCTCAAATAAACAAAAACAAAACTACAGCAGCAAATTCTTCTTGAAGACACATGCCTCTCCATTGGGCAATCATCATGGGAAGCGAAGAAACCAAAAACCGCAAAGGTAGCTGGCTCATGCTATGGATGCTGAGGCACGCGGCAGAAAGAGGCAAGAAGGCTCATCCAGCTGCTCGCTCACAGGGCCCAACCCTCACCTCACTGCCACACACAGGGGGAAGGAAACCAGCGCTCCTATTTCCCAGGAGGCAGAGCTTCAGCAGAAGAGCTCAGCCTTCATGTGCTGTGCAGTATGAACAGCCTTCAGCCTCTGATGGGCAAACCCTGCCTGTCCTGAATTCCCATGTGCTAAGAGCACCCAAAGGAGAAATGGAAGCAAACCACAGTTCATTTCTGCACTGCAAAACGGTATCACTTTCAAGCTGCTCCACTTTCCCACCTGACATGACAGTTACTTATTTCGGCAGGTGAGCTTCTCTTAATCATCGCATCTGGAAGCAGTTCACCCACAAGTATCAGGTTATCAATTATTCTGTTTGTATGGTGTACACTTTAACACAAATTAATAATGTGCTGAATCAGAAACTCAAGACTCTGAGTTCACAGCAGGGGGAAGATAAAGCAAGAAGGACATTTGTAGAGTCTTGCAGAAATCAGACTCCTGGTCTTTGAAACAGAGAATCTACTGGGGAGGGCTGGGGTGAAGGCACTGGGTTTATAAACATTGGAATATACGTAATGGAAAATAACATTAGTGATGTTAAATACAAGACGTTCCTGTTCACAGTCCAAGGCAAAAATAAAGCATCCCAAGAATGCTCACCAGAGACCTGGAACCAGTCATTAACAGCGTGGGGAACTAGGCCAGAGAAGCCCAGGGCAGTGTTAAACAAACACTACCTTGCCTGGCTCTTTTCTGAAATCATAAAGGACAACTTTATAAATGTACATTTCACACATTTCCTTTTATGCAAGACGTCTGCTTTTCTGCAGCCTAATTTTCCATAGGTTCAGGCCAGCTCTGTTTCCTGAGTTTTCATCAGGGTTGTAAAGCTTCCAAGCCTCTCCCTGTGGCAACAGCAGCTCTGAGAGGAGCAGGCCGGAAGCAAACAGGATCCTGCAAACTCGCAAGGATCAGTGTCTGGCAGTCACCTCCAGGCTGAGCACACAAAACCCCCCTCTCGTGGCAGCTCCACACCTCCCTTACCTGCCTGATACTCCAGAATGAGGTGGAACTCATCCACTTCCTGCAGTGACTCTGGTGGGACAAATACATTGTCATCAAGAAGCTCGTGGAGCTTTGGACCAACTGGACCACAAAGGAGAACCTGCAGATGAGCAGTAGGAAGTAAGTGTACCAGGAAATCTGCCTTTCCCCAGAGTCTGAAGAGTAGCTGGTCAACTACCTTTGGGCCAGTTCTGTTCATTACAAAATTGCTGGAGTCCAGTTTCATGTCAAAAGCTTTTGGTTTAGAGATGTGCAACAAAGGGGTGTCTGGAGGGCATGGCCACAAGTACTCGGAAAGGGGAGAACACAAGACCAAAGAGACAGTCGGTACTAATGCAAGGGCTGTGGTCCATGCTCCCTGTTGCAGAATGTTACTGTCCCCTGGAATTTACACACTGACTCTCCTCCACTCTAATGGTATCTGGAGATGGAGCTTTTAGGAAATTTAAAGATTGAGTGTGGTCCTAAGAAAGGGAGAAAGATATCTCTCTCTCTCACACACACTTTCTTTCTCTCTCTTTCTCTCTCGCGCACACACACACACACACACACACCCCAGGGAAAGGCCAAGGCAACCATTGTGACAAGGTGATGCCTGCCAGGAAAAGAACCCTTACCAGAAACTAACCTTGATGTAATCTCAGTTTTAGATTTCCAGGCTCCAGAACTATTTAAATCACCCAGTTAATGGTATTTGTTACTATAACAGCACAGGCAGTCCAAGGACATTCTATTTTATTACTATAGTATCTTTTTCTTCACACCCCATGTTACCGTTTAGATCTCAACTGTCCCCAGATCCTCTCGGATGTGGAAGTAGGCTGGATAATGGGCATCATACCCCTCAGTGGATTCACCCATGAATGAGTTTCCGGCTCAACCTGCTGCAAGGAGGTGGGGCCTGGCTGACCACAGGGCCTGGCTGGCGGTGGGGCCCTGAAAGGTGTGTTCTTGTCCCCACTCCTATCTCTCTGCTTTCTGACCATCATGGAGTGAGTGCCTTTTTTTCTGCCAGGATCCTCTGTCATCCTGTGTCACCTTAGAGCCAGCTGACTACTGACGGAAACCAGAGCCCAAATCAGTCACAGGTGGGAAAATGACCAAGACACCTGGTGTAGGCAGCAGTCCTGAGCTGCTGCTTTCCTCAGCTGCCCGATGGAAACAGCTTTCTGAATCTGATAGGCACAGATGTGCGCTTCTAGGTCACCAGATGACTACTCTGTGAGATCAAGCACCCTTCTTTACTTAACCATTACAGGGACTACACAGACCTCCGGCCAGGAAAATCAACGAGTTCCTTTCCAAACTCGCTCTTCAGCTCCAAGCTGGCTCTCTCCCTGGCCACTCCTAGAAGCTATTTCACCTTAGCTGCTACCCTGAAGTCTCAGTAAGAAGCTGCTGCTTCTGTGTCCCTCAGGACCAGGGCCAGGACTCAAACTCCCTAATTAATGAGGGTCTAGGAGAGGACTGAAACAGAAGTCCCAGAAACAGTCACTAGTATTCAGGTCCTATGTGCCTACCCAGGGACTTCAGAGAGCATTTTTCATGCTAATGAGCCACCTGCTTGTGAACTGCTTTGGTCCCTACAGAAACCTAATTAAGACATCCCAGCATCAGGGTAAAAACACACCCCTCTCCCTTTTCTGAAAATCCTCCCCCCACTACTTTCTTTTCTCTCTTTTCCTTTTGTTTGAAATATTTAATTTTTACAATACAACATTTCAAAATAAGAGTGTCAATATAGGCTAAGAGTGCAAACGAGGATTAACAACACATATCAGGGTTGGCATGGTGGTGCACACCTGCAGTGCCTGCACTTGGGAGGCTGTGGCAGGAGGATCACTTGCTGTGAGTTGAAGGCCAGCCTAGGCTACACAGTAAGTTCAACAGCAGTCTGAATTACATAGGGTAAGTGAGACTTATCTCAAAAAACAAAAACATGTAGAAATGGTTACCTTAGTAAACCTAAATCCTTGGTTTATATTTTCTTCTTTTTTTTAAGAGACAAGGCCTTGCTTTGTAATTTAGGCTGGTGCCCAGACTCCAACTTGAAACCCGCTTACTTATCACCAAATGCCAACACTGCAATTAAACCCGAACCCTGAGATTTTACTTTAGGAAAACGCTGTTACCCATGCTTGGCTGTGGGTGTGAGGTGGCTCCTCTGCTAATAGAGGGCTTTGTATATCTGTTGCTGCACGCGTGCCACTGGTTTGCCCCCACTGGCTCACTCAGTTTTTATCTCCAAAGTAGCAGTCAGCTTTAATTCCACTCAGACTGGCTCTCGTCTCCACCCCAGGGATCCAGGGTCACCAACACACTGGCTGTAAACTCACCCTGTGCCCATCAGCCCACAGCTGGCCAGAGCCAGGTCCCCAGTCCTACCAGCTCTGACCAATGTCTCTGCACCTCAAGGCAGGACAGCAACAGTGCCACCTACAGTGCCCAGTGGCCTAACAGGCTGCTGCAAGGGTCATTCAGTGTCAGACACACACAAGGGACAGTCACAAAGTGCTCTTCTGTCCGCCTCCTGCTAACCCCATGCTACTTCCTGACAGGGAACCATTCAGCAGGTGATCCAGAAACTAAAGCAAACAAATATTCAATTTTGCTTCTAACATTATTAAAACACAAAAGGTGCAGATTTTAATCAGGGAATGTAACTTACCTTCAAGTCTGAGTTGGCTGCAAATTTCTGTCCAATTAAAGCTGCATTTCCTCCTACATAGTGCTGTAAAATAGTTCAAGCCTATTAGCCGATAATTTCAACAATTTCATTAGCCAGGCTTTTTAATGGTACAGTCCATTTCCCCCCTAAAAATAATTTGGAGGTGACTTTCAACAAAGGACACAGACATTAGTTGGTTTTTTTTTTTTTTTTGTCTTTTTCATTTTTATCTGTACCAGGGATCGAACTCACGACCGCCTGCTTGCAAGGCAAGTGCTTATGCCGCTGAGTTAAATCCCCTAGCCCCTAAGGTTTTTTTTTTGTTTTGTTTTGTTTTTTTTTGTCTTTTTCATTTTTATCGGGACATTAGTAAGACACAGAAGCAAGCACTGAGTCATAAGGTGAAGAAAAGACCAGCTGTGGTGGTGCATGCCTATAATCCCAGAACTCAGGAGGCTGAGGCAGGAGGATCACTTCAAGTTTGAGGCCAGCCTGGACTACAAAATGAGTTCAAGGCCAGCCTGGACTATATAGCAAGACCTGTCTCAAAAAGTCAGAAAAAAAAAAAAAAAAAAAGAAACAAAAGAAATATGCTAAGTAGGAAATCAGTAGGATCCCTTCTCTGCAGACCACATCTGGCGGAGCTTCCAGGCAACCAGAAGAGTAGAGAAAGAATGAAAGGGAGGGTCAGGTCTCATCTTCCAAATTGAGTGTACAACTGGTTACTCTCCTGAAAATCATTCAACAGATAAACTCTCTGTGGATCAAATCGAACCTTGCACATGCTAGGCACATGCTCTACAATGAGACTACATCCCAGCTCAAATATCTTTTAAAATTTTTTTTGAAATAAGGTCTTGCTATGCAGCCCAAATTGGCCTCCAACTTGTGGCCATTTCTTGCCTTAGCCTTCTAGGATTATAGATGCATGCGACTGTACCTGCTTAAAAATGAGGCCTCACAAGGCCTTTCTTCACTGGACTCAAGATTTTCTTTCTATTTCTATCTCCTGGCACCTCCACACCTGGCCCAGGCCTCTTCCTGCTTACCACACTTACAGCCCACCCCAGGACACCCCCTCCTCACACCAGGTGCAGCTGCTTTCTCTCTCCTCCCCACTACCTCTTGGCTACTACAGCACCCTTTTCAGGCAGGAAGATGGTCCCTGCTGAACCCCTAACCAAACAAGCCTCTAATTACTCCTTCTTTGCTGGAGCTCTTGACCTCTGTTTGGATTGGTGACTGGCTCCTTGGAGCAGGCGCTGTCTGATGCATTTGAAGAAAGGAAGAAACAGTGCTGATGTGCTGGGAAATGCATAGGCTTTCAGTGGAGAGAATCCTCAAGGGGAAAGGGCTCTAAGCACCCTGCTGTTCAGTTGTTGGGGGAGGGGGGGCAGTGCTCTGGGGACCTACAGCAGGCAGCAAGGTTACTGTGGATTCTAAAATAAGCCTGGGCAAACACCACCTCCCAGTCCTTACCCAGGAGCGGGCACAGACAAGGCAGCACCCTCCCCCCAGGGGTTGACAGACAGCCTCCTGGGTCAGGTGGAACAAGGGCATCTTTCTATAGACAAATAAGTAATGTTCTATGATAGCAAGGCTGAGATTCGGCCCTTAACGTGGCAAGCTATATGATTTAACTATGATGACTAGACAAATTTACCAAAAGCTCTCGGGGGAAATATGAAGACAGCTGCAAAATGTACACCAGATTTTTCCTATAATGGTCACTGACTGTCATTTATCAGGTCACCTGCCTTTGCTTAAGGGCGTTTGAAAAAGTATCAAACTGCAATGTAGATAGTAGATAGTATACTAACACACTGTGGGATTTTATGAATGTTAAGAAATGACAAGGTTCCTGCAGAATTTTAATTTCATTATGAAACAAAGGAGAATCTGAGAAAGGAAAGCAATACCACGATCACAGAGATTCTGCCCAGCAGACACATCGTGTCCCCACTATCAAGACTCCCTCCTGTTAGCCAGGCGTGGTGGGACATACCCATAATCCCAAGCCTAAGGAGGCTGACAAAGAAGGATTGCCTAGAGTTCAAGGCCAACCCGGGCTATGTAGTAAGTTCAAGGCCAGCCTGAACTACAAAGTGAGACCTTGCCTCAAAATTTAAATAAAATTAAAAAAAATAAATAAAAACACAACTAGGGATAGACAGAAGCTGAGGTGGGAATGCTTAACCAACCAACAGAAAGTCAGCTCAAAGAAGGCTGGGGGCATATGCAGCAGTGGCAGGAGGAGGAGCCGGAGTGGCAGCAGGGGCATGCTGGGAGACACAGAAGAGCCACAGCTGGGTTTCTACCCAGCTCTATGAAAAATGAAGCTTAAAATGGTTGCATGTGGTTCAAGCTGGGGGGAGGTGACTGCCAGTAGATACTAAGTCCAAATCAGCAAGATTTCAGTGCAAGCGCACCTCCTTGTTCGGCGTATACAACTGATATAACCCATGACGATGCTGGCCGGTGAAAACACCTGACACAGCCAAGGCCAGACAGGCACATGTGGACACTACTGTGGCCTCTGGCATACGAAGTAAACCCCGCAGGCTCTGGGGGCTAAGTGGCCCAGGGTTGCTGTTGAGATCAGCAGCTAGGAGCCAAGAACATCTGGCAGTATACAGCGGCTGGGGCCACAGGAGCAGCTAGGCAGCTGAATAAAAGGCATTTCACCCAGTCCACAGTGCTGTGCCTCAGTGAGCCTACAGGAAGTGCCTGGACCATCTAGGCTCCAGGGCGTGTTTATATCTAGCAGGGGAGCTAAGGACTGCTGATATCCCTCCCATCGCCCCTAGGCAGCTCCACCCTACACTCCAGGGGTTCTCAGGATGCTACGGCAGAGTCCCTAGAGCCTGGAGCCTGCTGGACAGGTGGATTCTGGTTCCCCTCCAGTACCTTCTGAGCTGGCCTCCAACAGCGCACACAGGAGTCTGCGTGGCCCGTCCACCAACCAGGGCAGATTCTGTTCCTCTCCCCTGTTCTATCCAGAGACAGGGTATGCTGGGCAGTGACATCACGGCTGGGGAAAAGGGCTGGAGGGCTGCTGAATGTCCTTGCCGCCCAGGACAGCCTTGGCCACAGTACCGGCCATTCCACAAGGCAACCAGAGCCCTGCTCACAAACCTGCTCATGTGCTTGGGCCAGCAGAGAATGACAAGGCCCTACCCTGCCCTTTCCCACACAAAGGCTGATCTAGAGGACTTGCCACATTAAGGCAACTGTAAGTCATCACAAGCAAGTGCTACAAGTCCAGCAGGTTAAGAGTCTACAGCTCCCTGGGCGTCATGAAGAAATGGGGAACTTTACTGAGGCTTTTGAAAGGGCACTGTATACATTCCACACTGCCCTTGAACCTGCCACAATCCTTTTACCTCTGCTTCCCCAGCGCTGGGATGACAGGCAGGCACCATCAAAGGAGATACAGAGTTTGCCAAAACCAAAGTTTCAGTAAATATGCTTAATGTTGCTGTCTGAATTAAACTGACTAGAAATGGCAGAGTTAAGAAGACATCACATACAGTTTTACAAAAAAGGTGTAACACCACAGAATTGGATTTCCCATAATCACCGTGCAGGGCACATTATGGAAAAGCTGTCTGGAGAATGACAAACAAGGCCTCCTTTGCCACCTATTCCTATTCCCTGCGGGTGGCAGACATACCTGGGCTCCAGGCAGCTCAGACGCGACGTGGGCAATGTCATGAAAGGTTTCCCCGTCACTGAAGAAGCGCTCAGCAGCTGCTCCTTGTCGCATGAAGTGGACGAAGGCTTCTTCCAGGTCATTCCTGGAGCGCAGAATGGCATGGTCCCGCCCACTCCTGGGACTCAGGCCCAGGGCCTGCAGGAGCTTCACTCCCGAGAGCACCACATCAACACACGCATTGACTCTGTTGGGGGAGGAGCACACAAGTGAAAGATTGTGGGAGTAGGGAGAAGCCTCGAAGAGCCACACCAAACACACCAGAAACAAAGAGCGCATGCGAAGAAACATGACTTTATGCAGATACAATTAGGGTCGGAGCACGGGACTCTTAAGGGGTTTGCAGAACTTTCCTAGTTACAAAGGGAAAAGATAGGTGCCTAGCATTTCATGATGACACTATCATGGTGACAAAGACTTAGCGTTCTGGCCAGGCACGGTGATGCTCCTTTGTAATCCCAGCACTAAGGAGGCTGAGGTAGGAGGATCACTGTGAGCCTGGGCCTCATGAGGAATTTACAGCCGGTCAAAATTATATGGTGAGCTGGGCACAGTGCACACACCTGTAATTCCTGGGATACATAGTAAGTTCAAGGCCAGTCTGAACTACACACAGAGACCTTGTCTCAAAAAACAGACCACAAAAAGTGTAGCATTTCTGACAAAATGCTGCAGAGTCAAACTTTTTGGATGTGTGACTTGGGCAAGTCATTTTAATTCCTGAGTCTTAGTTTTCCTGTGTCTAAAATGAGCCTGATAGGAGCACCCGACTTGCAGAGCTGCTATGAAGACGAAGTGAATGAATGTATATTTAGAAATTGAGGCAAAGTAAGCTGAACAGTCATTCTGGCCAAAAGCTAAGTATCAGCTACGTTCCCTCCATGGAAGAGGACAGTGGGAAGATGCCCCAGACACTCAATGTTTGAACCCTCGTGGAGTGGAGCTCGCAGCAGCTGAGCAGTAGACAGGCGTCCCCAGGACCCACCCAAGTCAGAACCTTAAAACTCTGATAAGAAAGCAGCAGCTCAGTGGCACTTGGCCAACTCCACAGTGAACAGCGACAGCTGTCACTAAAGAATCACCTGCGATTTGTGCTTGTATCAAGTTCTGTTTCTCTGCTACCATCAGCCCTCCTTTAAACTGAGAGGCTAAACAAACGCAGCTAGATGGAAGAGTCCCCACCACTGGTTACCTTTACCTCTGCCCACAGAAGTCACTCTGCTACTGTGGTGATAACCCCATAGGCAGCTAGCTCCTGGCCTCTGAGAAGAACAGGGTCCCAGCAGGCTACCCAAGAGGCAGCTGGGAGGTGGCTGGGAGGCAGAGTTACAGTTCATTAATAAAGAAGCCCAAGGGGCTGGATTTTAGCATAGAACACATGCTTACAATGTTTCCCATCTAGTCCTTTTCCAAAGGCTCTTGGTTTGGAAATTAATATACCTAGTCACATTGAGAATAGGAATGCAATTGAGATAGAGAAAGAATTCTAACTAGACCCTTTTCTAGTTTTTACAAGCATGGGTTACTTTTATGTTGCTGCTCCAAAAACTAAAAACTATCCACTTCTCTAGATGTGCTAAAATCTTCAACATTTGGCTCTTCAAGAGGAGAAGGGGGAAAATCAGTTTGCAAAATTCACACAGAAAACAAAAGGAACCAAGTTCACCATGTTTGGCAACACAAAAAAATAAATCTCAGTGGAACTAGTTTTAAGTTAAAATAAAAATGCAATTACCAGAGGAAACATTTTTACCCCTCACTTCATTAGGAATACTGGGGCAGAAAGACAGTCTTACAAAGGAAAATTACCTTTCTACCGCTTGGTACTGGGTACTGAACCCAGGGCCCTGACTACGCAGGCAAGCACTGTACCATGAGCTACATCTCCAGTCCACTTGGTAGCTTATTTTTGTATTTAGCTCCTCGCTCCCCAAAAGGTTTCCACACAATTTTCATTTCTCCAACACAGCAACCCCATGCTACGTTTTAGTTTGCAACCATAAAGTCATATTAAAAACAAACCCAAACTTTTACAGCAGTTTAATCAGTACGGAACTGAAAGCTTTTTTTTTTTTTTTTTTTTAAGCTACTTAAAGGAATTTGGAATTTTAAATAAAATAACCCCGTCAGAGGATGCAGGCCTATATTTGGAGGTCTGACCCATTGATTCATGCAACAGCTTTGTGTTTCTCACTCTCCTTCCACTCATCTTAAAACAAAACCACACTATTTAGTCAAGAGGAAATAAAGTCCACTGAACCTTGCCAAGAAAAAATAAAACAAAACAAACAAACAAAAAAAAAACTCTGGCTCATTTCCAATGGATAAGTCTGCTGGCGTGGTCTCCAGAGTCCAGCACTGACCAGCGTGGTCAGACAGCCTCAGTGCCTATGGACAGAACCAGGCTCCACGGGACAGTTAGCTGGTACATCCCTTCCACAACTCCTGAGGCCACCTGCATTCTGCCTGTCCCAACCCTGAGTCACAACGTCACACAACACGATCCATAGGTTACTCTTAGCCCACCTAGCTCCCACACCCAGCCCCCTGAGATCCCAACCTCAGCAAGGAGCATGCCAGGCCAGCAGCACCGGGAACCGAAAGGTTCCAGAGATGCACCCAGCTGTCACATGTGCCAAAGGAGGGCTGATTCTGCTTTCAAAGTGAAAACTCAAAAAAGACACAGTCACAAAGTAAAGACCAAGCCAATATCATAGGAGCATCTTTGCAAAAACCTTAGAATTAGGCTATGAATAACTCAAAAGGAACGTAAGACAAGACACCTGGAGAAGGTTACCATGAATATCCCCCAAACAAGTGGCTCTAACTTAGACCATGTCCATGGTCGGTGAAGTCCCAACGTAAGTGTAGTATAGAATTTGCTGAATTCAGCAGACAAGGGGACCCGCTTCTGTGCAGCATCTCCTTATGTCCCTATGTACCCAGCATTACCTGTGCCTCTTCAGCAGGAATCCAGGCTGTGTATCAAAACCCTGCCAGTTTGGAATCTGCCACATAGGAGCCTCCCTGGATCCCCAAGGTCTCCATGTCAGCTTCCTGTCTTCACCCCATGTCACCCAGCAAGAACTGCTCTTGAATTCAGAAAAGGTGTTGTCAAAGAATAATTTGGACTTGTCTCAACAGCAGCTGGGCCCCAGATCTTCCTCTGCAGGGGTCTCATCACTCTGAATCACCACAGCCTGGCCCTCCTCCTGCCCTCTTTAAAATAGTTTCATCTTGAATTCTTCATCAAGCTCCTCTGTTGAACTGGGCATTTGCACTCTCAAAATTCAAGTCTTCTAAAACCCTGATTGTGTTTCCTTGACATCAGTCCGCTGGTTTTGTCCTCTGGAGCCATTCCCTGCTATGCAGTCCCCTGGCCACTGCCTCTTGCTGTTGGGGGGGTTGGGATCACTGGGCTACACCCCTGGGCATAGCCCTGTGTCCTGAGGGAGTGTGGGCAAGGGCTAGGGAGCTCACACACAGTGAGATCCTCAGTATCACAGCCCTGAAAGGTGATGAACTCCCAGACCTTCCGTCGGGGTGAGCTGTGGGACAGCCTTCAGTGACAAGGACCTCACTTTTGCCAGCCTCACAGTGCAGCTGTCAGTGTTGATGGCACACAGGATGCCCTGGTATCGGGTCTGCATCTTGCCGATAAGGTTGATCTTGCTGCTTGGCCACCATGTGGCTGCTGGGGACCTGGCTCCTGTGAGCCTGCCTCGGACTGATAGGAAGGGAGTGCAGAGGGATGGGCTGAGGGGCATGGGCTCGAAAGCCTCCGGCTTTCTTTTGGAGTCCACAGTTTAACAAGATCAAAATAAAAAATTATTGGAATGACTGAAAAAGGTTCAAAACCATAGGGAAATCAAAGAGTCTGGAGCAGCAGGGCACTGCCACCCTGGATGGGGGTTCAGCACCAAGAAAGGTGACTGCGGGCAGACTTTTCAGACATTAGTCTGAACAGCAGCTGACGGGGAATCACCCACATTGCTTTCTACTGAGAAAGGGATGCTGGAGCCACAGACTGAAGGAGCCTAAACGCAACTCAGGTTTATCTGATAGCCAAATCAGCGTAGGGGCAGAGTTGCAGATTAACCTCGGGCTTGCATGCCTTTTAAGAGCGCTGATCTGGCTGAAACTGGGAAGGCAGGCAGGGAGGGACTGCCAGGCAGGAGCTCAGGAAAGGGCTTCCTGGGATCCGTGCAGGGAGCAGAGAGCAAAGTGGAACAGAGGAGGGGTCCTCAGTGCTGGAGATGCTAAGTGGGCTTTGACAAAGTGCTGCCCACCTCCCTATCTGTAGCCCAGCTCTCCAGATGCTATACTTCACTTCACTCTCAGCATTTGACCCTGCAGCTTTGTGGGAAACCCTGCAAAAATGCCCACGTCCCTGCCTCTGAAACCCAGCATAACTGTAACTTCCTCCACAAGCTTGCCCCTTCCCCAGAGCTTTTCCCACGGCAACTGCATGCCCAGCATTACTCTGCATAATTAGACTCATTAATATGTTTCAGGAAGTCTAGACACAGTGGCTGGGAGCTCTAGGGGTAGAGAAAACAAGATAAAAAGCACCTGGACACCTGACTTCTGGTTGCAGGTCTCCAGTGTTACCTGACAGAGGTCCTCAGATAGCTTAAAGTATTCAATCCTATTGTGGTTCATGGAGAAAAAGGAGAGCTGAGCCCCCCTCAGGGGATTCTAAATGACTACTTCTAGTTATAAACCTACAGCTATAACATATTATTGTAATTGGGCATGGCCAATATATTATGTATGTATGTTTTCTTGTCTGTTAATCTGTTTTAATAGTTAGTTAAAATAACATGCAGGTTCTTCAGTTTTAAAAAAAGTCTTTTGTTCAGCTGAACAATTTTCTTTTCCCTTATAAGCTTTTTTGGGCTTTCCGTGGAAAACCACTTGTAGTATTGGTTTTCAAACTGAAAATATTGCAGGATTAGCTTGAGTTTTACATAAAACTTACAATAAAGACCTTAAAATTTCATAGCATAAAGTTCATACATGATTTAGGTGCATGTGTTTCTGTGTTAGCTTTCATATATATATGAAATACTATATATAATATATATTCCATAAAAAATGTATGCATCACTGAGCATGGTACCACCTCCCTGTAATCCCAGCAATGGGAGGCTGAAGCAGGAGGATTACTGTGAGTGCAAGGCTAGTTTGGGCTACATAAGCAAGTTCAAGGCCGGCCTGTACTGCATAGTGAGACCTTATCTCAGAAAAAAACCAAAACAAAAAGAAATACAATTTTCTATTGTTGTCAATGTACAATAATTTTTTCTTGGTTCAAAACATTAAACTATATTGCTTAAAAACATCAACAGTACTATGTTTTGGTTCTCATGAGTCATCCAAAATAATGTATAAGTTAAATAAGTACAAATAAAATTAATGCTTATGTTAATAACATCTAAGTCATCAACTGCTAATGTAAATTCAAGTATTACAAGTATTTATAAGCTCAAGGTTTATAAAATAATTGGTATTTTATGTGTTTTCATAAATTATTAAATAAAGGTTAACATATTAAGATATCCTTGGTTAAATTTATAAAACCAGATTAAAAAAAGGTTCTATGTTTACTAAGATCTTCTGTTTTCCACTGTTAAGCTTTTGGTTACTAAAAACTGAGTTTTAAGAGTTAGATTATTTAAGTGTTGGCTTGTAAAATGTTTTCAGTAATCTGTTTGTGACTGGTTAAATGAATAACTACTGTCATAGTTAAAAGATAATGACTTGACTTATACAGTATATCTGGGACTAGAGACACATCTAAAAATCAAAATATTCTGTGTTCCCAAAATACTGTACGAGCAGAAATCTGGAAAAAGGGCTAAAAGCCGTATCTATCACAGGCCGCTGAATGGGTGTTCACTGAAGATTAAATACATCAATTTTAGTGTGTGTGTAAGCTAAAATAAAACAAATAAAAACAAAATGTACAGTGAATCTAAGCTATTAAGTTGACAGTTAAGACCATATAACTTTAGTACATGTAAAGTAACTAATAAGTATTCTGTTGTACAATAGATACCTAGACCTTAGATATGTAAAATGATGAAAAATTCTGGCATCTCTTTAAGTTTGCATGCCATTTAAAACTTGATCTAGGGCTGACAATGTGGTTCAGTGGTAGAGCTCTTGACTTGCATGCACACGTCTTGGGTTAATCCCCAGTACCACCAAAAAACAAAACAAAAAATCTTGATATATATGTATTGAAGTTAATTAAACAAACAATTTGTTACTGTATAAATGGGATGTACTTACATATGTAATAAATTTGTGATGACACTATTTCCTAAACTTGTAAATAGCCTAATTTTAATTCTTATCAATGTGATTATACACAATACACCTGTTTTTAAACAATTTAAATTTTTCCTTGAGAGTAAAAATTAAATATATGAAGATGCCTGCACAGCTGTGATAATAATTACTGCTAACATCATGATATATTAAATACACTGATGTTTCCAAGTGTATGGGTCTTCTAAGACGCAGAACTTGAAAAGATACCTTATTATATTGATGACCTCCACACTAAAGTTGTTTGTGATGGACTTTTTCAGGTTTATGGGCAAAGGAGTGCTATGTGGATGGATTAAATGTGCCTACATGATATCCAATCCACACAATGTCAGTCTAAAAATTAAAGACTGGGCAGTAGTTATCCATTAAGTGTATCTGTAAATAAGTACACTCTTACTTAAAAAGATTCTTTGTTTTTGAAAAAGTAACAAGGCGGGCTGGGGATTTACTTAGTGGCACAACCGCGTGCCTGATTAAGCGCCAGGTCATGAGTTCAATCTCCAGTACCAAAAAAAAAAACAAGGATAAAGTTTGTTTATATAATTGGATAAAGGTGATTAAAAGGTTATCTTTTACTAAAATGCTAATCTAAATATAGTTTTAAAAACCCCAATGGTTCCAATATATCACCGTAATTGTTATGCTAAAATACTATCTTTTAAACTGTTCTAGGCCAGGGGTTTAGCTCAGTGGTACAAGCACCTGCCTGGCAAACTCAAGTTTAGCAGTTAGATCCCTGGTACAAAAGCAAAAACAAACAAACAAACAAAAAATTCCCAAAACCTGTTCTAGTAAAACTTTACAACTGTTACATTAGCATTCTACAAAAATTTGACTAAGACAATCATGATTGATTAAAAAAAATAAGTTCTCTGGCCATGTTTTGAATTTCAAGATGCTCAATGTTCTTTTTTTTTTTTTTTTCCCCTCTTTGTCTTTGTGAGACAGAGTCTTGCTATACAGTTCAGGCTGACCTTCAGTGTACTTTGTAGCCCAGGCTGGTTTTGAACCTGCAACAATCCTTCGGCCTCAGCCTCCTGAGTGCAGGGATCACAGGCATGCATCTCCACACTCAGCCAAGATGCTCAATATTCAGATAAGACAGTTAAACCTCTGGCTCCTGCTTGGATACTGGTGTAACTGACCTTCTGGGTGTTCAATAACTAAGGCTTAGGGGCCAAACCTAAAAAGGTAACTGGGCTAAGAAAACAACCAATATTTTGTCCCTGGTCTTCCGAGGTCAACAAGGACCCAGGACATGAGGGAACCTCTCTAAAGGATACTACAGCTCTGGTGAGTCAAACCAACCTCCTGAGCAGGCAGCTAGGCCAGATCCCGTCTTAAAATAAAATTTTAAAAAGGGCTGGAGATACAGCTCTCAGTGGTAGAGGACCTGCCTAGCAATCTACAGTACTACAAAAACAAAGAAACAAAAAACTGAACAACAAAAGATCACAAAATGGTTACTGTTTTAGGCTACTAAATTTTGGGGCTGATTCACTCCAGAGCAATAGTGACTTTCTGGGGCATTTTCTAATGTCCTATTCTGGGAAGAACTGTTACCCTTCTTTGGGTCAGCATGACACCTTTGTTTTACCACCAGTTCAGTAAAGCACTTTTCAAACTTCGTAACAGACACTGGTACCCTCTTGCCCCATCAGAAAGTCCTATTTTGAAACCCTAACCCTCAATGTGACTATATCTGGATACAGAAGTAAGGAAGGTTAAATGAGGTCAGGACCAGTGTCCACGTAGGAGGAAGAGACATGGGAGGGGCACATGCACGACTAAAGGCCACTGAGAAGCTGGTAGACTGCAAATAGAAGAAACACACCAGCCAGGCAGGGTGGCATACTCTCTGTTATCCCAGCATTCTGGAGGCTAAGGCAAGGGGGACTGCTAAGTCCAAGGTCATAATGGGCTAGTGAGCAAAATAAAACAAAAACAAAAGCGAAAAGCCCAAACACACTAGCACCCTAACTTTGGATTATGGGCCTCTGGAACTGAAAGAAAATAAATCTCTATTGTTGACGTCATCAGCCTGTCGTATTGTTCTAGCAGCAAGATGATTACTTCAATAACACATATACAGTATCTGTTTCCTAGTAAATGAGGCAGGGACCTTGCTTCCCTGTATCTGTGTCCTCAGAAGCTAGCACAGACCTAAGTGAACCACGCAGCTGATGGGTATTCGTTAAGTGTACTCATATAATGACAAGGAAGGTAACTGATCTAATAAGGTGAGTGAAAACAGCCTGAATTTGAAAGTGGCAAAAGGAGACGCACCTTGACTAATGCATGTACTGATAACATTTGAGGGCTTTCAAAAGCAGACATCATGCTAGTTAGAGAACATGGCTTATTTCATTCAGTCTGCAAAGTAACTGCTCTGTCTGATCCCTCCTGGCTCCAACACTCCCACAAAGTCGGAGGGTATTTGCCACGTCTGCTCTTGCACAATGCTCTTGAAATCAGCCACGAAAGTCAAGTGGTATCGAGACAGGGGCAAAAGTTAGTGAAAAGGAAATAATTACAAAAGAGTACAAAGACAGGAGCACTGTGATTTGCAAGAACCTTAAATATGCAATGTCACTTAAGTGGAAGAAAACCATTTCAAAAAGGATGTGTTAAACGCGTAGAAGGCTGCAGAAAGCAGAATATGCAGACTAAAAGGTTGAATTTGAAACTCAGGAATTTCAATAGAGTGGTGATCTCCGCCCTGGACAGGTAGAAGAAAGGCTTTGACCAAACACACCAGCCAGGCGCACTCTTGTCATCCCAGCATGGAAATGGAAAACAATGGAAATGGAAGACATGAAGGAAGTCGGTAAAGGTAGAGGCCATTCATCTTCAAAAAGTTCAGAAGCAAATGAAAAAATGCGTCAAAATGTGAAAATGAAGCACCTCTGCCAAGAACAGTCACCAAGGGGCAGGGGTTGAAGGCTGGGGACAGGAAGTACGAGCAGAACGGTGGCATGAAAAGAACCGCAAGAGATTACGTATGCTGATCCCACAAAGGTGACAAGGAACCGGGGCCAGAGGGGTGGACTGGCAGTCTGCTGGGTCCCTGCAGCAGAGATGACAGCGTCATCCCAGACGTTCTATGCCTCCCGGGGACGCCGGAACCCCGTGGGTCTCGACCTCTCGACCGCACAGCCGCCCGACCTGCAAAGCTGACCCTGAAGGCCCAGAGATCCAGGCCCCGTGGGCACTCACCCTACGGCCACACGGCGCCAGCGCCGGGCTGGCTGCACGATGAGGGTGTCCCAGGCGGCCGCTAGGCGGCTCTCGGGGGACAGTGGTCCCGGTGGCGCGGGTCCCAGCCGTAGCGAGCTCCACAGGGAGCGCAGCGCCGAACCCGGCAGCTCCGGCTCCAGCAGGAAGATGCAGCCCACGGCCAGCGCCAGGAAGCCCGCACAGGCGGAGCCGCGCCACAGCGCCATGGGTACGGAGGCGCCGCACCGCAGCGTAGTACCAGCTCACAGTCCGCGCCTTTTCCGGGCTCCACGCGAGCTGACGCTGACACGCGCGTTACGTCACATCGGCGCGCCGTGCCCCGCAGGGGGCGGGGCGGTGGGCGTGTCGATGACGTCATGGGGCGGGAGTGCTTCGTCGCGGTTCCGCGGCCCTGAACGAAATAGAATAAAGACGCAAGTGTTGATCCATCTCTTTGCATTTAAAAAAATAGTGGGGCAGGAACAGGAGTGCTTCCCCCATTGAAACGAAACAGGCAGATCGTGACGGAGCCGGCAGACCTCGCGTTGACATTTGATCAGTCGTCCAGCGATTGCCAAGAGTCGCACTCGTCTTGTTAATCCCCCTCGGCCCGGCCCATCCTCCACGGTTTCCTAAGCCGCCGCTTCCAGGCTCAGCCTCTGCGGGAGCTCGCACGCGCGAGGCAGGGGTCCTTCGCCCTCTGGTGGCCGAGGCTCTCAGCCCCTCTGGGCGTCGCTGGAAACCGAGGGCAGCCCGATTCAACGTTCAAGCCTTAAAATCTCCTCTTTGCTGGTGCTGTTCCCCTTGCCGAGCTAAGAGAAGTGCATAAAGGCACATGATCTTGTGTAAAATGGTTCTGGGTTGAGAAACCCTGATTTCTCTTATTCCCACTTGGTGCTGTTACTTAAACCCAACTCCGTCCCCTCGTCGTGACCCTCTGTGTGGCAGTGCAGGGTAAGAGCCACTGAAGCGAGCCCTCTCCAGTCCGTTCTCAGCAGCTCCCGTGCCCTGCCTGTTCCTGTGTCCTGGCCTCTTTCCAGTTTTTCACTTCTACCGGTTCCTGACTTTGGCTGTGCACTGCATTTCCACTTGGCTTTGGACTTGGCAGTCAGGCTTTTATTTCCCTGGCTTGATCTTCCTCATGAGTCTTTATTCTCCTCAGGGCCCCCACACAATGCATCCCCATCCTGGTCACTTACCTTCCCTAGTTCACCCCACCCAGCCCACCTGACCCTGGTACCCCTTTACAAGGAGAGGTCTGTACAGGAAGAGACTTGGGCTTTCTTGGGAAAGAAGAACCCAGGAGCCCAGAGTTGGTGTGAAGTTGACAGCTGCGCTGCTTTGCCTTTCCTAGAGAGAAATGTACTTAGAGTTACCCAAGCTCCTAATCATGGCCTTTGGTTATCAGGATTCCCCGCCAGGAGAGAAGACTGATGGGGTCCCAACTTTGTTGACTCGTTCAGCCTGTTTCTGCTGAGAATCTGAACCTACTGCCTGGTGTTTGCATTAATTGTTTTGCGCTGTGGACCTGCATAGTCACATGAGGTAGGAGGTCAACTAGGGCTCCTTAAGCATGTTTCCAGGGCATCCCATCTGGAAGAGCTCCTGTTCTGTTTCATGCCCGCTTGTTATGTGACTCGCTTCCCATTCAGTCAATATTACCTGAGCAATTTTGCTTGTAATCTTATTGGTTGACCATAGCTCTGTCCCACCTCGTGCACACCTTCTAATTTCTCATTTTCCTCCACCTTGGACCTGGCTTACCTCGTGGATTTGCTCTATAAAAATCCCTAGAAAAGGCAGGGTCCTCAGCAACCCACTCAGGATTCCCTTTGTCCGAGACCAATGCTGTCTTTCCCCAATAAATATATTCTCCTTTTAAAAAATGTTTCCAAAGTCAAGTTTTGGAGGTGCAGAGGAAGTGCTGTGAGAATGAGAAAAATCCATGAACAGAGGCCTAGGGCTCCACAGCTCAGTCTGCTGTGTACTCAAGGTCACCACAAATGGGCAAAACGTGTCATCCAAAAGTGGTGTTATGAGGACTTATCCTACAGCATGATGGCACCACCAGACAGTATAGGGGAAGTCACCTAGAACTGTTGAAGGAGCATGATGATATTGAAAGTACTCCTGGGGAGTCTTGAAGCCTGTCTCAAAGCTGGGTGACGGGAACATATGCAACAAAACATTGAGAAGGCCCTGAGAGTCCCTTGATAGGAACAAGAATTCCTGCACAGATTGGGAGGAAGGCCCTTCTTAACTTGTGGGATGTGACAGCACCCTGACCCTGGTTTGCCACATTGGCTGTGCACCAGGAGGAAGTGCTGAGCCTGAGAATGCAGGGGCACAGAACCCATGAGCCCCTTGGGACAAATAAAAGAGGGGATGGGCGAAGCTGTGCTCCCTGCTTGGTACCCTCTAGATGTTCCAGAATCTGCTGCCAGACCACCAGCAGAAGGAAGCCCTTTTGCTTTGCCATCCGTGGTGAGATAGCACAGAGGCTGGGGACATCCTAACAAAACCAGGGTTGTGAAAGACAGGAGAGGAGTGAATGATTGTTGCAGGGCAATCAGTAATTCATACTTCAAATAAGTTACGGCTTCAAGAATTGGTTTCAAATCTCTACTTCTGCCACCCACTGTGTGGCCTCAGGTAAATCATTTAATTTTTCAAGTCATTTAACATTTTTGTCTTTTTGAGACAGATTTTACTATGCAATTTGGGCTGGCCTTGAACTCACTTTGTAGCCCAGGCCGGCCTTGAATTTGCAGCAATCCTCCTGCCTCAGCCTCCCAAGTGCAGGGACTACAGGCATGCACCACTGTGTCCAGCCAAGTCATGTGATTTTTTGGCCCCTCAGTTTCTATACCTGGAAAATAATTCCCACTTTACAATATGGTCATGGGAAGCAGCAGTATCTTCGGAAAACCTAGCACAGTGTCTTGTGCTATGACCTATAGATAAAGTTCTTATTTCTTTCCACACTTCTGGCTCATTAGTGCTACAGCCCTCATTATCTCCAAAGACTAGAATAATGTTAGAGCCCTGCAGCCTCAGGAGCAAGCTTCAGAAAGCAAGGTCTGTCAGTCAGTCTATCTGTCGGTTTTTCACTCTGTCTCCTTTCAATACTCCTCCCTGCAACAAGCCACAGGAAATAGAATTTCTCTTTTTCAAGGCAGTTGATAGAAATCCCAGTATTCTCCAGCTTTGAAGCCATTGGCCATAGATGAGTTCTGTGATCCATCTCACCTGATAGTAAATGATAAGACCTCATTTCAGAAGCAGTGAGGCCCCGTGTCCTCTGGAAGGAGGGCTGAAGAATCTGAACTTACAGGCCTTGCTGGGGTTCCTTGTTCTGTTCTAGCATTAGACCAGAGTCTTTGTCCAACCCTACTCACTACAGTTGTGCACACTTCAGTCATGCCCATGTCATTGTGAAAACCCAAAAGGAATTGGATGTGGTGGTGCATGCCTATGTCCCCAGTACTGGAGGCTGAAGCAGGAGGATCCCTGTGAGTTCAAAGCCAGCATAGGCTACATACCAAGACTGTCTTAACCAACCGACAAGCAAATAAACACCAAAAGGACATTGTAATCCCAGCACTTGGGAAGCCAAAGCAGGAGGCTCACCAACAGTTCAAGTCCAGCCTGGGCTACATAGTGAAATCCTGCACAGAAACAACAAAATCCCATATAAGACATTGGTAAAGGTAAGGATAGTGCTTCTCTGAGTTCTGTAAGCCGCTCTCACAAGTCAGTCAAAACTGAGATGGGATACCTGGGAGTCCTAATTTGTAGCTGTTGGTTAGAATTTCTAGGAGGCTAGGGTTGTGACCAGGTCTTGAGCGGGGACAGTACTGTAGGACTGAGCTCTCAGCCTCTGAGATCCAGTGTTGTCTCACAGAAGGCTATGTGTGGAAACTGGGGGTGTCTGGATGGTAGATGATGCAGATTGTTTGCATGTTCTATTTGTTTATCTCATTGAGACCTAATGGTTTCAATTGATATCTGGTAATATGTACATTATTTTGCCTTATTTTTGGCTCTTTTTTCCTTCCTATATACATTTTTTAAATAGACTTATCTAAAAAAAGAAAAGGCCCGGTGTAGTGGTGCACACCTGTGCACACATCAGGAGGCTGAGACAGGAGGATCACCACAAGTTTAAGGCCAGCCTGGGCTATATAGTGAGTTCAAGGCCAGCCTGACTTATGTAGGGAGATCTTGTATCAACAAAACAATGACCCCAAAAATCTTGAACAGTTTGGAGGAGAATGGACATCTTTATAATACTGGTTGTCCAATCTACAACCAGGAGAGCCCCACTTATTCAGGTCTGCCTACATGTCTTACAATCACATATTAGACTTTTATGTGTAAAGACCTTAAACATCTTTAATAGGTTTGGGCACTTAATATTTTCAGTACTTTCCTTGAGAAAAAATGGACATACAATAAACTGCATAATGTTTAAAATGTACAAAATTATAAATTTAATATATGTGCATACCTTGAGACCACTTTTTTACTACAGTCAAGATAACAAACATGTTCATCATCCCCCCCAAAATTTTCTCATAACCTTTCTGCCCAAACAGCTCCTTACCCCTATACCAAGGTGATCAGTGGGCTGCTTTCTGTCACTCCAGATCAATTTACACTTTCCAAAGTTTTAAGCAAATGGAGTTACACACTTGTGTGCTTTTTATTTTTATCTTTTTTCAGTACAGGAAATTGAACCTAAGACCTTCACTCTGAGCTACATGCTCAGTCTTTTTTATTTATTTTTAAAATTTTGGCATGGAGCCTTGCTAAGCCACTAAGTTGCCCAAGACACACTTGAACTCGTGATCCTCCTGCCTCAACCTCTCAGACTTCTAGGATTACAGACATACACCAACACTCCTGGTTTATATTCTTCTTTAATTTGTCTTCTTGTGCTCAGGACAATTGACTTGTGATTAATCTAAATTGCTGTTTATTAATTATGCATCACTTTTTAAAGAACACTTTTTACTATATTTCAAAATATGGACTCATAGGAAGATGCAAAAATTGTGCAGAGAGAGCCCAAGTACCCTTCCCCTAGTTTCTCCTGTTGCCTATGTGTTACACAATCACTGGGGAACATCAAAACCAGTAAATTATCATTGGTACAACTCGATATGTTTTAGCCACCACTCACAGCAGGTACTGAGCTGCCCCTGGGTCTCCCCAGGGCCACCTCTTTTAGTCACACACACCTCTGCCTTCCACCATCCCTACCCTTCTGGCAACTACTAATCTGCTTTCCAGCTTTATAATTTTGTCGCTGT